AAATTCAAAAAGAGAAAGCCCTTCTCCAGGTACTGGAATATTTGGAATTGAGTATTTAAAGATTCATAGAAAGCAAGTTGATTACTAGAAACCAGGACAACCAAATCTTCCGTGAAGTTCATTGGTGTATATGGAATATCCATCTGCCCACATTTAATGTTCATCTGTAATTTTAACTACCCAAGATTCTGCATATGTGTGAAATTATTTAATAATGCTTATTAAATTGATTTTTGCATCCTGCATTCTATATCATGTCCACATATTATAACAAAGAGACACATGAATTTTCTAGCTAAGTTTGACAGATTGAAAGACAAATATTTTTTAGTAGGGAACAGCATTTACCATATAAATGAATAGAGATATATGCTAAATTTTTTAAAAAAGAGTTTTTATCTATGAATAAATATGGGCTGATAGATTTTGTATGGAATTGTGGGTGTTCCTGCTTCTCCACTTTTGAAATATTAACTACCATGTGGGACATGAGAAAAGACCAAGAACTGTTTGCAAAGTTCCAGAACATGTTGCAGGAGTTCCTTATTTCCCATGCAACTGAGTGTATGCGTAATTTCCTGCTCAAGCAGAACAGTGTGCAAAGAATTTGTTTTATACAAAGTTGGGCTAGTTAATACTTTTACATCCCAAATCTTGAGGAAAGAGTTGAGATTAGGAAGGATGTTTCTAAATATAACTAGCAACTAGCATATATCCTGTAAAATGTGAAGAATTCCAGAGTTACATATTTATATAAATTTAATCAGTGATTTAAAAGAATTGTACAAGAGGCTTTATTTCAAATATGTGTTTAATTTCCTTTTTTCAGTTTCTCCAACTATCTACAATTTGAAATGATTTTTCATGAAATTCCATGAACTAGCCTTGAGAAATGTTTAGTATAATGTCCCACATCTATAAGTTATTTGTGGAATATTCTTAGCAGAGGCTAGTCTCTGGGATCAGAATGACTGATCTGATGCCCTCTCTGTCTATATGACCTTGGGAAAAGCACATCTGTGCACAGGTGGCTAGACGGCTGCTTGGGATTTGCATACAGGTGCTGAGGTGTGGACCCAACAAGTGGTACATTTTAGTGAATGTAATCATCCCAGCAGTATTAATGAAAATCTGTTTTACAGTATATGTTCTGTTTTGCAATATTTTGCATCATCACAACAGAAGATTTAAATCTGAAATCATTTCTCGAAATTTAGCCATCAATCAGGACAGCCTGTTCTGAAAACTGTCCATGACTTTATACAGATGTTTATGTGAACTCAGATGAAAGTGTTGTATTTTTCTTAGTATTCCATACCATGTTCTCCTTAGCTTCCATAATGTTGAGCGTCAGCACATGGTCTTTCTGAAGAGCTCTTATGCAAGGGCGGCCTGTCCAGAACCATAGACTCACTCCCCTGGGACTGCAGAGGTGATTCAAGCAGCAGCATGCGAGGCTCACCTGGGGCATTGGTGGCACACACATAGTGGAAACATGGACCTAATGCCCCACATCCTGCCTGTCTTGAATGAGGAAAAGGAAGAGCAGGCATTCCAAAATAAAGGTTTTGAGGATTGTCTAGCTTTTCCCTGGCCTCTCTTTGTACCTTTCTCCCAGCCCTCACACTGCTCCCTGGGTCCTGTGTAAGCTTCCCAGTAAAGATGACACCATTACTATTTGATTGCAGAAGTCCCCAGCTTTTCGTTTCCTGGAAACTTTGAGATGTGTTTGGGTGAGAACTGCTAGGAAAAAGAAGAAAGATAATGTTTGTAGCAAAATCATTAAGCAGAGCTGAGGTTGTATTTCTGATCAGGGTTAGATGTCTCCTTGTAGAGACCACTGTGTTAATTATATTTATTTAATAACAACTTTATTGAGATATAATTTATATCCCATAGAATTTACCCTTTTTAAAGTATACAGTTCATTGGTTTTTCATATTCACAAAATTGTGCAACCATCACCATCTAATTCCAGAGCATTTTTATGAGCCCATAAAGAAACCCCATTTCCATTAGGCCCTGAAAACACTTAACTTGCTTTCTGCCTCATGCATATACTAAACATTTCATGGAAATAGAAACATACAACCTGTGGCCTTTTGTGCTTGGCTTCTTTCACTCAGCATCATGTTTTCAGGGTTCATCTGTGTTGCGGCCTGTGTCAGTACTTCATTCCTGTTTACAAGCTGCCTGATACTCCATTATACCAGGTTTATTTATCCACTCATCAGTTGATAGACTTGGGTGGTTTCTACTTTCTGGTTATCATGAGAAACACTGCTGTGAACATTCATATATAATTTTTGCATGAACCATAATTTTCCAGTTTCTTGAGTAGGACTGTGGGATCACTGCCAAACTTTTCCAAAGTGACTGCCCCATTTATCATCTTATCAGCAATGATACATTTTAATCATTGATTATCTAATCTTGTTATGGTCTCATGGTTTCCTTGCCTCCTATCAATTTGTCAGTGATCTCCTGGGGCATTTGGTAATGTCTGCTCATGTAAACCAAACCTCTGAGGGAAATGCATTTCAGTATTAAGGTAAAAGTGTAATTCATTCACCACTGTCTTCTGTGTGTATGAGGGTGACAAGAATAAATATTATGTGACATAAACTACCTTCTGGAAGACATTCTTTTTTTCTTCTTAAATTATGTCTAAACTCTATTTCTAACTAGAATAGAGTGTGGGATTAATTAAATGAACAAGTGAGATTAGGCAAAAGAAAATCTGTTAGAAGCCATGGATTTCTAAAAGAAAAATGAAAGCTTATGAAAAATTCCCAAATGAAAGTCTTGAGAGACAACTTGCTATGTAGGAGGTGCTAAGGTAGTGTATGGCTTCACTATGCAGTACTGGAAAGTGAGACTGGGAGAGGTATTGGGTGGCCCTGGTAGCACAGACCTGCACACCTTCACTCTTTCATCCAAGAGTTAAGCACCTCTTTAGTGCCACACCCTCATCTGGGTGTGAAGGAATCCCTGGAGAACAGCCACAGAGCCTGGTCTCAAGAGGTTGCCATTCTTCCGAGGATACAAGTGACGGTAACCAAGCAATCCGACTTCACATGGCAGGCCCTAGGAAGAGAGGATGAGGTGGAGTTTTGCCGTAGGCAGGAGCAACTTCAGACTGACAGTAAAGACCCTGTGGTCCTGGAGGGATGTCATCAGAGTGGATTCCAACACAATGTGAGCTGTTGGGCCCAGCTTGGCACGCAATGCCGTGAGCCACTACTACCCCCAGTCCTACCCCAGCAGCAGATTATCCTCATGAATAAATAGCCCACCAAATGATGAGAGCACTGCCCTGGTTGCATAGTTCAGTTGGTTATACCATTGCCCCGATACGCCATGCATGCAGGGTTCAATCCCTGGTCAGGGCTCATGCAAGAATCAACTAGTGAGTGCATCAATAAGTGGAACAACAAATCAGTTTTTCTCTTCTGTCCTCTCCTTTCTCTCTCTCTAAAATCAATAAATTTAAAACTTCAAAAATCATGAAAAAGCACTATGTAACCCTGAAGATAATTGGTAATCTCTCAGAAGAGAAAAGGCTGGGAAAGGGAGGTAGTGAATCTTTCTTTATGCTGCATTCACTTTGGGTCTAGGAGATGTGTACTGCTGGTTTAACAATTCCTTCTCCTCTTGGAGCATTTTCACCTGTACCAAATAAAAGTAGTTATGGTTAGAAAGGTGAGCTGTGCAATGTGACTTACACTCTTGCCTTTCTTTAAAGAGAAGGGTTACATTTTTCCAGTTCCCTGTCCCCTATCATCTGTAACGTAATAATTCATTGTATTACTGCTGACTGTTCTCTCTTCTTCTTTAAGAAAAATTCTTAAAATTTTTCTATGATTTCTTTGATTCTCTAGTCTCACTTTTTTTCTCTCCAGACCCCCATTCCACTGTAGCCTTCCCTCAGCCTAATCAAGAAACACCTTGGGGATAAGCCCAGCGTCCCCAGATGTATGTGCAGACACCCCCCCACCCCCTACCCCCAACCCCAGCAGTCCCAGCACCAACTCACCAGGACAGACCAAGGCACTCTGGCCATGAGGACATGCTCAGCTGTTCTTCAGCGCAGCTCTCCCAGGGCTCTCCTATTACCTTTCTCACTTTCAGGATCTCCAAGGGTGCTCTGATGTCCCTGTAGCGAACAGTATGTAACTTTCACCCAGATGATACCTGTCTTGAGGAAGTTTTAAAATGTCAATAGTTCTTGCAGGGTTTTTTCAGCCTCTCGCTCCTCGTAGTAGCCCCGAGAACCTCTGTGCTCTCCCATGACATGGTGTGTGCGTAGCATGGACACTTTGTAGGGCAGGTGGGGACACTGCCTTGCCAGCCTTGCCAGCCTTGCCATGGGCAGTGGAGGGCGTGTGGTGGCTGCAAAGCCTCTGAAGAAATACTTTTTATCCCTCTGAGTCTAAACTACTCTATGTTGCTAGAAAGTATGACCTTGAGCAAGTCAATTAACTTGCTATGATTTTTATCCACATAAATAAGGTTATCATGAAACTTAAACGTAATACGTGTAAAAAGCCCAAAAGTCTTTGGCCCATAATAAAGTACTAAGTAATCATTAGTAGCTATTGTTACTCTTATATCTGGATTTTCAAAAGTTAATACTTTTCTAGAAAAGAGGATTTCTTGCTTTTCTAGGATTTCTAGGGTGATTTTGAACACATAAATATTTTTTCATACTTATATATATCCTATATAACCATTGCAATGGCCCTATATTTCATTGTGCTGATGTGTTATAATTTAATGAACAATCTCCTTCCTGCTCTTGTGAGTCAGGTTTGAAGATCTGTTTGTCTGGGTGTGTGCCACTGTCTTTTCCATCCGAATTGCCACTTACTCTGAATGGTGGCTCCTTGGTATTAGGGCTGGTGTCTGTTAAGTAGATCTGCCTGTGACCAACTCATTGGCCAGGTACTTAATTGATGTTTAGTGATGAATACCTTTGACAGCATCTTCTCTTTTTCCAGGGCAATGGGGCTTTTCAGTTTGATTGATACTCTGTGGCCTCCAGCGATGCCTGTGAAAGCACCTGGCCACGACCAGGCCTGTGAAGAGGTAAGCTTGGCATTTGAAGAACTCTCCCCAGTCACCACCAGGTGTGCCAGACGCTGCACCAAGTGCTACCTCTGCAGTCCACATCCCTGGGAAGCCCAGGTCCAGGGAGCATGAGCCAGGACTGAGATTCAGACCCACTCACATTCTGAAGTCCAAGCTCTAGTTGCTTTCCTTGTTGTGCTGCAGTGTATCCTTCTTGCAGTTAATTTATGGTGGTGTTTTTAAACCACAGTCATTAGGGTCAACAGTTAAGGTGTTAACCTAATACTAAACAAGACATAGGGCACCGACCCCTGACCCCCCACAACAGCTTCCAGTTACCAATTAGAGCAGAAACTCATATAACCTAATAAATAGAATTCATCGTTATTTGCACAGCCACCAGGCTAGCGAGGAACTTCCATTTTCCTGACTCATCAAATTGTTTATGGTAGTTGTTCACAAGTAGCAAAATTGACTGATTAAATTGTGTCCCCTCTTCTCCATCCTGAGCCTTATCCACCAAGCTGGCCAGTACTGCCTTGGGGGTTGTCTTAATTGTGTAGTAGCTGACTTCTAAGCAAATGCTAAGACTATGACTCTATACTGGGCTAGACAGACCAGCAAAATCATTGTCCAAAATGCCCATTTCCAATTTAAAAAAAGCTGTGGCACATTTACACAAGTGGAATACTATTCAGCCATAAAAAAGAAGGAGCTCTTACTCTTTGTGACAGCATGGATGGACCTGGAGAGTATTGTACTAAGTGAAATAAGCCAGTCAGAGGAAGACACATACAATATGATTTCACTTATATGTGAAATGTAATGAACAAAATAAGAAACAAAATAGCAGCACTCAGCAGACTGACAGCTGTCAGAGGAAGGGAGAACTGTAGTGCTGGGTGAAAAAGGTAAAGAGATTAAATTTAAAAAAAAAAACAAAACGACAACAGTATGGCTATTACCACAGGGAAAGGGGGTTGAGAGGAAGTAGAAGAGGGCAAAAGGGTTACACATGGTGATGGAAGGAGACTTGACCTGAGGTGGTGAACACATAATACAATATTCATATGAGAGAACAGTACCTGAAACCTATATAATTTTATTACCCAATGTCACCGCAATAAATTTAATTTTTTTTAAAAAGCCTATTTCTAGATTACTTGAGAGGAAGAAGTTTCTAAATGGTGTTTCAGTATACTCTGAAGAATAATTTTCTAAAATGAAATTTTGAATTGGAATAAATTCAAAAGTACAAATTTTTATACTTGGTCCCCAAGAAAAACAACATAATCTATTTCTTATATAGAAATGTATGAACCTTTCAGAGATAATATGCATCTGTGAATAAATATGTATATAGTAAGGACTAGGTTTTATTTTTGAGTCCTTTAACAATACATTCACATTCTACATTTGCCTTCATTTCAAACAGGTAAAAACATATCTGCCACCTCCTAGCTTCTGTTATATCCTCACTGCTCATCCAAATCTGGGACAAATTGATATAATTGAAGATCCCATTTCTAAACTGTACCAGCCTCCAATTCCTCGCTTATTAAGAGAAATTCTTCAGGTAATGTCTTTGTTTCTAACAAGGTCTTCAGTTACTTCTTTTTGTATTTGTGTGTTTTGTGTGATGTTACTAATCCTTTTCAATGCCTTTCCAGACTGACGATCTCGGTACCCGTTGCAGCTTCTATGCCAGAGTGATCTATCAAAGACCACTGGTAATCTGTTCATCTCTCTCTTTTTTCTCCTCCCCCTCCCCCTCCATCCTCCTCCTTCTCCTGTTCCTCTTCCTCTTCCCCCTCCTCCCTCTCCTCCTCTTCCCTCTGTTTCTCCTCATGTTTAATACATAAGGTGCTATAAAGTTTGTCAAAGGATCATTCATCCCTGATGGAAACTAATGGAGTAACAAAATAGAAAAATATTTTAAAAATCCAGTCATGCATGCTTTGTGCTGAAGAGGTAATAAATCCATTTTTTGAGCAGGTGTGGATTGCCAGCCACTGTGTTAAGTACTGAGGTATAAAATGACCTGGGTGTAATCTTACCCTGGAGGATTCTCAGCCCAGTAATCCTAGTTCCTTTTGGACACATAGGCAGGTTGTACAAAAGAAAGAAAAGCTGATACCTCAGTAATGAGGTAAAGTAGGAATGTCAGGATTGAGCTCAGCCACTTCTCAGAACTAACTCTTCAGTAGTTCTGAAAGCCTTGAACTGTTGGAGGAAACCCTGCGATCCCTGGGAAGGCCTGGGCAGTTTCTTGCAAGTGGCAGCCTAGTGGAACTTGTTTGCTTCCTTGCTGTTCAGCGGATCAGCTAAGAATAGACAAGGGAAAGAGATGTTTTGGGCAAGTTCAACACATGATATAAGTTCCACAGGAAACTGCTGTTGAACCCCAATAGAGGAACATCCATGTTTCAGTCACCTGAGAGGTATATAGAACATCCCATTGTTCAGTCCTTGTTTTCCTTTCTCTGTTCATCTTTTAGTCATTTGACAGCTAATTGGTGCCTCTGCAGAGGAATAAGAGGGTGATTGGCATTAGTCATTCAACAGTGCTCCTTGTGAGCTGTCCCTGCATCTGTCTCAATAGGCAAGGGGACCAACCCCAGTGAGGTCAAGGTCTGGTCCCCTGATATATCTCCTACTTTCTGAGTCTGAGGCAAAAAAGGCTGACTCTACGCACCTGGCACATGGCATGTTCCTATTACTCTAAAGTGCATTCCAAATTGTGGAGCTGTGACATCAGGCAGTGGTTCACTGTGCAGCTGCTGTTTGTGCTGCAGGTAGAATGCTGACCTCAGGGACAGGAACAGCAATCTCATGGCTGTTACACCACTTGTTCCTGCCCACAGGGCTTAACCCGCCCACAGTTTTGCTACTGAGACCAGAGGTGGAGGGTAAAGAAAGTGGGTGTCAAGTGCTCCACACCATAGCCCCATCTCAACCATCCACCCCACTGGGAGCACTAGGGCAGAGAAAGACAAACTGCAGGCCATCTGATCTCCTCCTGGTCCAAGTTTCCTGACGAGAAATAGGCTCCCATCAGTTCAAGTACGGCCTGCCTGCAGCCATACCTTTCAGTGAGTTGTGTACCATGGGATTGATGGTACTTAGGAAACAGTCAAGGACTCAGAAACGAACTGAATAGATTCTACAGTTAACTAAAATTCTTTTTGTTTTAAATATTTTATTTAGTTAGTTATTTTTATTTTTCAAGAGAAGGGAAGGGAGAGAGAAAGAGAAGGAAGAAACATCAATGTGTGGTTGCTTCTCACACACCACCCACTGGGGACCTGGCCCACAACCCAGGCATGTGCCCTGACTGGTAATCAAACCAGTGACCCTTTGGTTCACAGGCCGACGCTCAATCCACTGAGACACACCAACCAGGGCTCACTAAAACTCTTTATACCACCTGTATTCTGCTTTTGTGGGAAAGAGAAACACCAAAAATCCACTTTCTCAGGGAAGAATTGAAGTAAGCTAAGTCCTGGGCCCACTCTGTGGTTAAGCCAACACATTCTATAGTGACAGTTGACTTTTAGAATAGCACCATGAGTCATTGAAAGAACCTGAGTTATCAAAAAAGATTCAGTTGTGTTAACATTATGCTAATGACTGTGTCACTAAAGGTATTTTTTGTATTTAACTTTTGTTTTGATTATTCAAAAATTTAAATTCACAGTAGATTGCCCAGAAATATATAGGGAGTTCCTATGTGCCCTCCCCCATGCCAACGTCCCGTACCCACAGTAAGCACAGTACAGTTTCAAAACCAAGACTGACATTGGCAGAATTCATGGAGCTGGCTGAGATCTCACCAGTCATACATATGTGCATGTGTGAGCACATGTATGTGTACCTTTATCAGTTTTGTCACATATGTAGCCTTGCATAATCTCCACCGCAATCAATATGCTCAGCTATACCACAGACCCCACAGTGTCCTCATTGTAGCCACACCCATCCCCTGACCCCTGGCAACCACAAATCAGTTCGCATCGTTGTGATTATGTTATTCTCTGATGGTTGGATAAATAGAAACATGCAGTATACGGGGGTGGACAAAAGTAGGTTTGCAGCAGTTGTAATACAAATAAATAATATAATAATAAATAATATTACAGGAATAAAGTCTGTGTTTCACACATTAAAAACTGTAAACTACTTTTGCCCACTCCTGTATATCAGTATTTGTTTCCTAACCATACTGTGCAAAGTGCCAAGAACTAGATCACTTAAAACAACAGAAATGTATTATGTCATACTTCTGGAGGCTAAAGGTCTGAAATCAAGGTGTCGGTAGGACTGTGTTTCCTATGACAGCTCTAGGGGACATTCTTTCTTTCCTCTTCCAGCTTCTCTTGTTTGCTGGCAATCCTTGACTTTCCTTGGTCTTAGAGGCATCACTCCAGTCCCATGGCCATCTTCATTCTATGTGTCATCACTGGGTGTTCCCTCTGTTTCCAAATTTCCCCTTTTTATAAGGACACGAGTTATATCCAATTAGCGCCCTGTAATGATGGCTTAACTTGGTTAAATTTGCAGAGACCCTTCTTCCAAATAAGGTCACATTCTGAAGAACTGGAGTTAGACCTTCAAGAGAATTTTTTTGGAGTGTCACAATTCAGCCTGTAACAGCTCCTTCTGAGATTGGCTTTTCTCATTTAACATTCTCTACAGATTCATCCAGAAAACAGATAATGTTGAACATCTTTTCAGGTGTTTATTTGCATCTGTATATCCTGTTTGGTGAAATGTTCATAAATGTCTTTTACCCATTTTCTGATTGGCTTGTTTGTTTACTGTTGAGCTTTTAAAGTTCTTTATATATTCTGTATACAAAGCCTTTGTCAGGTAAATGATTTGTAAATATATCTCAGCATCTAATTTTTTTTCATACTTTTCAGCAGGGATTTTTGTTCAGCAAAAGTTTCTAATTTTTATGTGATCAAATATATTAACTTTTCCTCTTAGGAATCCTATGTTCGTTTTCAAGTCTAAGATAAGTCAAGTCTCTTTGCCTAGCCCTAGGTCCCAAAGTTTATCTTTTCTAGAAGATTTATAACTTTACGTTAAGTCTATGATACATTTTGAGTTGGTTTTTATATAAAGTATGTCATTTAGATCAAGCTTCATTTTGGGGCCAATGGATGTCCACTTGTTCCAGTGTTGTTTGTTGATAGGCTATTCTTCCTCCATTAAATTGCTTTTTCAACTTTGTTAAAAATTAACAGAGTATTTTTGTGTAAAAGAGATTGTTTTTAATACAATATTAGCAATAAGATTAATAATACTGGTATGAATTAATTGGATTTTTGTGTTTTTTTGTAACTGAAAATGCAGGTTTGGCTACCGGCCTCAACAAAAGCCAAATTTGTGAGGCAGGTGCTGGTGCAAAAGGACGGAGGGTTTATCAAGTGTCGCCTGACCTGGGAGAATGGTGGACTCCTGTTTCAAAAATTATCTCCTGTTGCATTGCCCAAGCCCACGATTCTTATAGCATAGGGGAGGGAGAGCCTTATCTTTCTTGCTAGCTTCAGCACAGTCAGGACATGCAGTTTTTGGTGTGCTTGGTGTACAGACTTCCCCTTTTGCCATCTAGACCGATGCGGGAGACTTCCTGGGCCTCCAGCTGATGGTCTGTGGCAACATTTTTTAAAATCATTTTTTATTGTTATTCTATTACAGCTGTATGGCAACATTTTTACAGAGGATATTATTGTTCCTGACTTCACTCATAACACAATGATAAAGATGATTTGATAGTTAATTTCCAAGGAAATTAGACCATTTTGGTTCCCAAGACATTTAAAAGAGACAAGAAGCCAAATCCCGGCTATTTACAAAGAGTATCTAAAATCTTTGAAGACTATCAGGAAAACTCTCAACTTCAAATAATCTTGTAAAAATAAATCTTCACCCTTTTTGACACATCTACCATTTTTTAAATGCGATTTTGCTAGTTGTTCCTAAAAAATTCTTTATAATTCCATGGTCTAGTACAGAATCATGCATTGCACTTAGCTGTCATGACTCATTCATCTCCTTCAAATGGAACATTTCATCATCTTTGCTTATCTTTTATGACCTTGTTATTTTAGAAGAATAGAGGCCAATTACCTAATTGAATGTCCCTCCATTTATATTTGCCTTATCTTATGAATACATTTATACTATGCGTTTTTGACAGGAACACATGAAAGTACCGTGTTCATATCAGGAGGCATAGAATCAATTTATCCAGTGCTATGATATCCTATTGATTGATAAAGATGTTATTTTCCAGGTTTCCCCACTCTGAAGTTAACTAATAAAGATCTCATTAATAACTAACAAATATTTTGCAGGAAGATACATTGAGACTATATAAATATCCTATTTCTTATCAAAATTTTACCTACTTGTTTTAACATCCATATAATTTGTGCCTGAATTATTACTCATAATAGTGGCCAAATGGTAATTTTCTAATTCCAGCATTCCTTCTACATTAAAGAATTGGCATTTGGTTATAATTAGGGTCTTTTCATTTCCCTGATTTATTTATGTATTCACTTATTTATATCAATGTGGACTAGAGGATTCAGTTTTTATTCAGTGGGTTGTAACTGTTACTATAGTTTATTTCAATGCCCAAACATTCCCAGATTCAAACTAGCTCCTGTGCCTTTCGGATGTGCTCATATCCTTCTTTGAGTACTTCCTTATTTTCTGACAGAATAAGATGTTTCAGACTAATCTTGTGCTTTTTCTGCTCTGAAATCAGCCATCTCTTCAGGAGCCCTGGTTGGTTTTAAAGGAGAATGGCTTTTTTTTTTTTTTTTAGAATGACATTTAGAAGCCAAGATCTGGGTACTATTTGGGCTCATTGTTACTGGGATGTCATTGGCCCTCTCAATGGAGAGAGCAAGGAATTTATGGGCAAACTCATGTACACATACATAGAAATCCATTTCTATTTCTATCTATCTATCTCTGTCATACTTTTACACCAATATCTCCAACTCGAGACTCTTACCTCAGAATTGACTGTAGGATTTCCTATTTCCATATTTATTCACCAGTGAGAAACCTGGTTCTCATTTTGCCTAATTTAACTTACTCTAATTTCTTATATTCAATCAACCTACCAACCATGTGAGCTGCCTCCCCTACCCAACCCACAGCTCCTGAACATGCAAGTCACATTCTCTGCCCAGTCCTGTCAATTAGCCATGTGGAATCCTCATCCTGATCACACCATCCATGCCAGCAAAACCAGATAAATGTCACACCAACCAGTTTCTCATGGTCTAACCCTACTGACCACAAGAGTCTTCCCAGCCAAATCCTTGACCCCATTTACATCTACTGAATCCTCAACTCTGATCAACAGTAAAAATCAGTGCCATTTTAATGAACTTGAAAAAGCATTACAATATTTGCAGATAAGAAAAAATTATAATGAAAGAAAAAAATTAAGAACTGTTGCAAATACAACAAATATTTGATACCTGCTTTATACCAAAATCTGAGGGCAAGTAAGATGTAGTTTTGACATTGTCAGTTTGGGCTCCTGTAACAAAATACTACAGAATGGGTTGCTTAAACAGCAAACATTCATTTCTCACAGTTCTGGAGTACAAAAGCCTGAGATCAAAGTGTCAGCATGGTCTGGTTCTTAGTGAGCGCCAGCCTCTTGGTTCACAAAAGGACATCTCCTTGTATCTTCTCAATGTGGAGAGCAGAGAGAATAAGCAAGCTTTCTCATGTCTTACAAGAGCACTAATCCCATTATGAGGGCTTTACTCTTATGACTAATTACCCTGCGAAGGCCCTATCTCCCATTACCATTACATTGGAGGTTAGGACTTCAACATATTAATTTGGGGGTGGGGGTTATAAACATTCAGTTCTAACATTTTCTAACCCTTAGGAAACTTACATCTAGCAGGGGGGAAGAATGTATATGTACTAATTATTAACAATGTGGTAATTAGCCTTATAGGTGTATGAACATGGGATCAGGAGGCAAAGAACAAGGAATTCTTCCTAAGTCAGAGGACAAGTAGAATAGTTAGTGCCAGGGAAGGGCAGATTGTATCACAGCAAAGGAAACCTTTACACAGGTGTTGGGTTGGGGCTCACAGAGCACAGCCATGTCAGTGGGGGCTAGTGACCAAGACATGAAAATTCTGTGGTATGCTTTTAAATGTTTGTTGAAAAGATGTTAATATAAATAATAGTCATCTTATATTATTGCTTTTAAAAATAATTTTGGATATAAGAATAGCTATCAAGTTAATAGTCTTAACTGTGTCTTGTAGCTAAACAGTCTGTTGCTTCTGGAGCAAAGGGAGATTTGGTTGATGGTGACTGATGTTACCCTGCAAGTGCAGGATGAAAATAACTCTGGATTCCCCAAAACCCTGCCAGTCTGTGTGACCCCCTCTTGTGCGCTGGGCCAGGAAGTCCTGCAGGTGCTGACCGAGGCTGCCCCTCACAGCTTCTTCTTCAGAGATGCCCTCCGAGACCAGGGTATGCTTTCTTCTTGACAGCTTTGATCCAGTGTTGACTTACAGATTCCATAGAATGGCTCTGTGGCTTCTAGATGCCTCTGTCTTGGTTTGGAACTGCTGGTCCTTTCACTAAGTCCACTGCAGACGAGGAGTGAAATAGGCCCGTGGAACTGACCCCTGTCATGGCCACCTGGACAGAACCAGAATCCCTTGCAGCACAGACAAACTCTGTGAGGTTCCATTGGTCACTCTACGATTGTCTGTTGGTGGTACACCTGACAGTTGTAGAAGCCATGTAAAGCCACTGCCTGAAACATTACTTTTTAAAACAAAAATTTACAAATTGTAAACATGTACACTTAAGTCAGTCCCTTTTTTTGAGGAATCAGACTAGGATCCTGCCTCAACTGCATATGTATTTTTTAATTTTATTGAGGTATAATTTGCATACCATAAAATTCACCTTTCTGAATTGAATTTGAATCTAGTACTTATATGTTATTTTCAGCTTAGCACACTGGCAGCTTTGGGGCTTCCTTTCTGCAAAGTGCATGTGTCACTGGACACAACGAATGGACCCACCAGTTGTGCCCCTTGGCCCACACAACTCATGAGAAGCTAGCAAAGGACACTGTCTCTCCTGGCAGGGGAACTCCCTTTTCTTTTCAGTCATTCAGTAATCTGAAGTGTGTCTGTTGACAGGTCGGATTGTTTGTGTCGAACGCACTGCCATCTTGCTTCCAAAGCCCGTTTTAGGTGTGGCTTCCAGGGCTCGCTCCTGCGAGCTGGCTGGCCCTGTAAAGCTTGATGAACTGGATTGTGTCACTCAGGTCAACTCCATTTGCAGCATTCAAGGTAGGTAGTCAATCTTATTGGAAATGGTATTTATATTTTCTGAAAAATCATACTTGTCAATGAGTATTTGTTGAGTGCCTGACATGTTCCAGACACTGGATACATAAGGAACAAAATCAGAAGAGGTTCTTGCCTCTCAAATTTATAATCTGTATAGAAAGACATAAATCAGATGTGCACACAGCCAAATATGGACCTACAGCATTCCAAGTGCCACTCTGTGTCACCTCACCTTATAAGGGAGGTCACTGAAGTCTCTCTAATGACAGGAGCCTTGGGCTGAGATCTCAAGAGGAGGAGGGACCTAATTAGGTGAAGGGGTGGGTTCAGGAAGAATATCTGGTGGGAAAAAACAGGACTTATAAAGGCTGCTTACAGGATAGAGTGGGTAGGCACTAGTCTGGAAGGAGGCAAAAGAGACATCTGGGTAGAGTCAGTGACCTGAGACAGAGCTGGAGAGGGCAGCTCACACAGGCAAGTGGGCTGCTCTGTCATCTTGACAGAGAGACAGCATGGTCCAGTGTCCATCTCTACAGAGCAGAGTGGAGGGGCTGGGGCCTTGTGTAGTAGCCAGTAGGAGGGCGAGCACCAGTCCAAAGAGTGAAGTAAATCCAGGAGTAGACTTAGTTAAGAGAGAAATTGACATGTTGGATAATGAATTTAGTATGGAGTGTACAAAGCATACGTAGAGGGCAAGAACATATGTGATGACCTCTAAAACTCTGGCTTAGATGACCAAGAGATGGTAGTGCTGTTCAGTGAAATAGGACACGGTGGAAGAGGCCAGCCTTGACGGGACGATCTTAGTTATGTCTTGGTGAGCTGGGAAGGAGATATTTCAGTATCTGGTTGGCTATTTGAGTCTGGAGCTGAAAATAGCATTAATACTTCGTTTTTTCACTTTATAAAAATTTTTAGTGATAAAAGTAATACGTGTCCATTGGACCTAGTGAATGATGAATGAAGAGAAAGGTGATGATCTCCCATCACACACTCACCATGCTGCACCCTCTTCAGTGGGAGCATGTATGACTTGGTAAAATGGGATAGTTTGCTACACATTATTCTGTCTCTTGCTTTCCTCACTTGATACTCTAGCAGGGATGACCATCAGGTAGTAGACAGAGATCTAACTCAAGATATTAACGGTCACATAATATTCCCTCAGATGAATAAATTGTCCCTTCACTGATGCACAATCCAATGTGTTCTTCTTTTTTGCAATTAATTATAAACAAGGCTGAAATAAATGTCTTGCCCTACATCCGTCCCTACTGATATCTACACAGAAGGATTTCAAGATCTTAGGGTTCATGTATTTTTTAAGCATCTTTATTGAAATATAATTGACACAATTCACTCACTTAAAATGTTTTAGTAGAGTCACAGGGTTGTGCAACTATCACTACAATCCAACTTTGCAACATTGTCATCATTCCAAAAATAAATGTCATGGCAATTGTCTGGTACTCCCCATTACATCTCGCCTTTCCCACCCCTCCCCTACACCCTAGTCTTAGGAGAGCACTGATCTACTTTTTGTCTCTGTAGATTTTCCTTTTTGGATATTTAAAATACATGAAATCATACATTATGTGGTCTTTCATGATTGGCTGCTTTTAGTTAGCGTAATGCTTTCATGATGTAGCATATATCAGTACTTCATTTATTTTTATGGCTTAATATATGGATGTGCCAGTTTTTGTTTATTCAGTCATCAGTTGATGTATATCAGGTTGTTGTTTCTACTTTTTGTCTAAGCAATGCTGCTGTGAATATTTGTGGGCAAATTTTTGTTTGAACACCTAAAATTTTGGGTATGTATCCAGGGTGGAATTGCTAGGTCATATGGTAATCCTGTGTTTAAACTTTTTGAGGAAATGCTGAAGTGTTTTCCAAAGTGGCCACATTGTTGGTCTTTGTGTCCTTAAGATTAAAAGGTAACCCTGGTCGGGTGCTCAGCTGGTGGGAGCATTGTCTGTGCACCAAAAGGTTGCAGCGGGTTCAATCCCCGTTTGGGGCACACACAGGAGGCAACTGATGGATGTTTCTCTCTCTGTCTCTCTCTCCCACTCTCTCTTTCTCTCTCCGCCTTCCTCTCTCTCTGAAATAAATAAGCATGTCCTCAGGTAAGGATTAAAAAAAAAGATGAAAAAATAATTTCAAAAAGTATACAAAAATTCACACCTCCAAAAGTAATGTCTCAGAAGTCCTGTTTTCTCCACCCTTGCCCACCACCAAATTTCTGAATCTTTTTATGATTTTTATGAGTAGCAAAAATTATGACCCCACTGTTGCTTTAATTCCCATTCCTGTCTGCTTGTGACACTGAGCACTTATTCATGGTATTGAGGCCATTTTAATGGTTTTCTCTTGTGTGCATCTCCTTGTAGAGTTAGTACCAAAACATAACTTAGGTTGTGATTTGATGAGGAGAAGTGAGAGCAGTATAGCGTATGCCTAGTGGTCCTGAAGAAAGCAGACTAACAAGTCACCTGTCCCCTGCATCCTCCATTTTCTCATCTGTAAAATAGGGGTAAGAGAATCAACCTTAAAGCACTACTGAGGATTAAATAAGATAATGCACATGAACCTTTTGGGGTTTAAAACACTCACAGACTAGAAGAGAAGCTAGACATCTGATGCTTCCACTGCCACAGACAGGGATGGCCGGCTGGGGGCTGGAGGGCTAGCGCAAACAGTGGGTGGGTGGCCTTGGGACCATCAGGATTTTTCAGGCAGAAATGGTAAAGGCCTTCCAGACAGGTGGGTGGGCATATGGGAAACACAGAGGTGCCTGGAGCACTTGTAAAAGTTCCATGTGCTAGAGGAGAGACAGGGTGATCATGGCACAGTGCTGGGTCTGTATTGTTCTGTTTTCCCCAGCCATGCTAAGGAGGCTATATGATCAGATTTCTTTCTTAAGTGAGGCGATGCTGTAAGCCTCATGCAGACTATGGCCCTGTGCAGGAATTGGTTGTTGGCAGGAAAATGAATTGCACGGACCCAGAATTATGGAGGCTGAATGGACTCTGCAGGTTGCGTGCAGTGACTCCTCCTGGCCCACCTGCACAGGGCCCTGGGCAGCCAGCCACGCTGTGAGGACAGAGCGCACAGTGTGGGCAGGCATCTCGTGGCTGATACACTATGCGTGCTCCTCAAGAGCTTGTCTGCAGCCTGCCACCCTAGAGACTTCCCTTCCACCTTCATTCTCCTTGTTGGTTGCTACCTATTCTCCTCGCATCCACTCACCTCTCTCAAGGCCCAGAATTGGTCATGAACTGAGAAGAGAAAGAAGGATGATGGAGCAGCCCCCCAGGGTTGTTCTCTGCCCCGCATCTGAAAGTCAGTGCCATGCCTCACACCAGTTAGGCTGTCTGGGAGCATATTAGAAGACCTATTATAAAAATCACCACCATCTCTAGCATCATTTTATGAGAAAATATGTAGCTGAAGAAATGGCTTCCCAAGGAGGTAGCTAACCCATTTTTTTTAACTCAGTCCTAACTATATCCAGTAGTGCCACAAAGATGTAAATTCACACAGATGTGCAACTAACTCTGCCTAATCCCTGGCAATCACGAACCTACTTTCTATCTCTGTAGATTTGCCTATTCTGGACATTTCATAAAAACATAATCATATAATATGTGTTCTTTCACCTCTGGCTGCTTTTCCTTAGCAGAATATTTTCAAAATTCATCCACATTGCAGCATTTATTGGTGTTCCATCCCTTTGTATGGCTGAATTCTACATCAGATAGACATACCACATTTTGGTTTTCCATTCATCAGTTGATGTCCATTTTTTTTATATTATAAATTATGCTGCTAGGAATATTCATATAAGTCCTCTGAGTGGACATACAGTTTCTATTTTATATATTCTTTTGTTTTTATATAGTTTTCCTATTGGCCATCATCATAAACAGAAGTGCAAAAGTAAAAATAGGAAGCGTGCACAATACCTCTGTGCCTAGGGAAAGACATCTATAGAAAGGAACCACATCCCAAATGACAGAACTGTAAGACTGAAGAGATTTAGGAACTCTGAGTCCAGGTAAAACGACTAAAAGGCCATGTCATGAAAATATAATGCACAGCGAAAGAGATCCATTGTCCATTATAACCTCTCTGGAGAGAGACAGTGTTAATAGGGGATTTTCCTGGGCTCTAGAAGAGGGGAACTCAGGAAGGAGAATTTGGCCATCTTACTGGCACTGCCCATGGAAGGACACCTGGGCTTCTCCAGCTGCCAGGTACTCTGAGTTATGCGGACAAAGAAGCCCTCAACTCAGGGCTTCCAGCCTTCAAAGCATGGCACATACAGAATCTCCTCATTGCCCCTATCCTCTCGCTCTCTGGATTGCACAGTCGACTCCAGGCACCTGGCCTCCAGCATCTTGGTCACCATGTAGAAAGAGCTGTCTGGAGAGGCTGACAGTTTGCACTTAGGTGGTGCTGCTGAGACCCATTGTTTGCCACGGACACACCATTCCCTTTATCGTCTCTCTCACAAGGGTTTCCCTCTCACAGCAGGGCTTAGCTTTCAGAATATGGAAAGAACTTTGCTCTAGGTGGACAGATACAGCCTTGCATGCCACCTTAGGCACTGTGGTGCGCTGGCAGCTGCCGGGAAAACTCGTGGGGCTCGGGGATCCTTAAGGCCCACTTGACTCCAAATGAAATCTTCACGTAAGGTATGAAGACGAAATATTTTTTTAAGTAAACAGTAAGCAATCCGATCTATCACAAAGCTCTATTCCTGGTAGCATAAAACAAACTTAAATGGCCCAGGGATAAGATTTCAGACCCTTCAGCACCTAAGCAGTGGAAGGAGAACCACATAGGAATGTGTACATAAGACTGTTTGCTAGAAACTTACCTCCATATCTTTTTGGGCTTTACTAAATGTATCACTTGCCTAAAGTTAGGGATACCCTGGAGACAGCCTGTCATCAGCCTTAATAGAAAATACCTGCATGGGCACTGGTGCGGTG